GCCAATGATTTGGAGAGAGCCAACAGATCATGTTAGTAATTGTTACTTTTGTATGGTGCCTCCAACAAAAAGGGCTAAATAAGAAGAAAAAGTTATCTGTGCACTATCCAAATATTCCATCGGCAATACGTCCAGTTCCTCATGGAGAGGGGCTACCAATTCCTAAAGCACCAGAATCCTTCGTGGTTGAGTCAAGTGAGGAAGAACCTGAAGCATGTAGTCATCAACCGTCAACCTCACATGACCCAGAATTTCTTCCATCCACACCCACTGAACCACACCTCATTACACAAGTGGAATTGAGCGATCTTATCAGAGACCTGGATCTTCCCAAGAACAAGGCAGAGCTTTTGGGGTCAAGACTACAACAGTGGAATCTCCTAGCAAGTGATGTTCGTATGGTGGATATACTAAGTACTGCTGCTTCCTCTGTGAGTGGGACAGTCGTGCGAGAGAAATGCACTATGCCAAAAGAGACTGGCCATTACGCCAGTCATTGCAGCCTGGAGAAAAAAATGTTAACTATCCAGCACTTGTAGACAGCAATAAGATCTTATTACCTCCATTACACATCAAGTTGGGATTAATGAAAAACTTTGTTAAGGCAATGGACAAGAATAAAGCAGGTTTCAAGTATCTGATTAGCAAATTTCCAGCACTTAGTGCTGCAAAAATAAATGAAGGAGTCTTTGTTGGGCCACAGATTCGTAAACTTATTCATGATGATGAGTTTCTTTTTCTCTGTTGCGTGGAAAGGAAAAGGCTGCCTGGACAGCATTTGTATCAGTGACATCAAATTTTCTTGGAAACAATAAAACACCAGACTACAAGAAAGTGGTAGAAAAACTCATCCAGACTTACAGAAATCTGGGTTGCAACATGTCTCTAAAAATTCATTTTCTACATTCGCATCTGGATTTTTTCCCACCAAACTGTGGAGCAGTGAGTGATGAACACGGAGAGCGCTTCCATCAAGACATTGCAGCTATGGAAAGAAGATATCAAGGTAAATGGAGCCCATCAATGCTTGCTGACTATTGCTGGACAGTTGTAAGAGATAGCCCTTTCCTCGAATACAAGAGAAAAGCCAAGAGAAGCAAAACCGACACAAACTGAAGACAAAACTAGTGAGAATCCTAAGTATTAAAATTATTCAACTTAGCTTATGGCTATAATTTTTTTGGTAATCCTATGCAATATATTATGCCATTTAGGCTTTGTTATGTAGTCAATATCACTTGCTTTATATTTGTGGAAAGACATCTATCTATATAATTATTGTGCATTATGTAGTCATTACGCCTATAGTAGAAAACTTTCCGTTTACAGAAAAACTAGAGCCAATTGACAAATTTCATTGTTATATTTGAACTCAGAATGTGAAATTCATTAAGAAATGGATCCTTTTGTTTCCAAAACTGGCAAAAAATAAAAATTTGTTGAACAGTGTTATTAAACAATTTTTAAAAAAGCATCGCCGTCCATGCACGCAAAGGCGCATGCATGTGTCGGTCCTGCACACAAGCAAACAGTAATCGGCCCACACATGTGGTGCATCACTGAAAATGTCAAATTATGGGCAGTAATTCTAGCACCAGATCGCCTCTCTAAATCTGAGATGGTGACCTGTAAAGGCTTTTAAAGCGTGGCTTTTGGATAGTAAAATTTATGTTGTTTGTTGCCACTGCACGAGCATGCACAATTCTAAAGTGTGACATATTTAGTATCTATTTACTCAGCGTAACATCATCTTTTATATTTTACAGAAAATTGGGTTTAGTATTGTGTTTTTAGCATTAAAATTCAAAAAAAATGTTTTTTTTTTTTTTAAATAGCATTTGAAAAACTGCTGCGCGAATACAGTGTTACATACAAAATTGCAAAACCCACCAATTTATTCTCTAGGGCCTTTGCTTTTAAAAAAAAATGTTTGGGGGCTCTAAGAAATTTTCTAGCAGTTTAAGTTGCCATAAAGCCCCTTTTTGTTTTTAAAAGCCCCCGACTTTCCTAAACGCACCTCTGCTTAATATATATATATAAAAAAAAAGATTTTTGCCAGAATGGAACATAAGAAGGGTTGATGTTTATTTTTATCAACAGGACAAGTAGATTGTCATGAGGGACACACTGTATTGCCAAAAAGTATTGGGACACTCCTCCAAATCATTGAATTCAGGTGTTCCAATCCCTTCCATGGCCACAGGCATGGCTGGTGCTACCACTAGGCAGCAGCCTAGGGCGCAATATCGACTAGGGGCATAGCCACGGCCTCTGGTTCCCCTACTCTACGCCATGGTCGGATCTAGGGGGGTGCTGGGATGGGCTTTGGGGGGATTTGGGTAAGGGGGGAATATTTTATGCTGGGAACAGTAATTTGGAGGGGGTTTAGCTACAGGAGGGATTTGGGGGAATTTGTTCTAGGTGGGGGGATTAAAGGAAGAGTAGTGATTATGCAAGGGGGGATTGGGAGTGTGTGTTAGGAGGGGGATGGGGGATGGGGAATTTGTGATAGGAGATTGGATTGGGGGGATTTGTGTTAGGAAAGAGGATTGGGGGGGGGATTTGTGTTAGGAGGGGGTATTGGGGGGGGAGAATTTGTGCTAGGAGGGGGGATTTGGGCTAAGGATTGGTGCTAGCAGGGGGAGGGGGATGTGTGTAGGAGAGGGGATTGGGATTGGAAATTTGTGCTAGGAAAGGGGGGGTATTGGATGGGGGGGGGGGATTGGGAAGGATTGTGTTAAGTGGGAGATGGCTGGGGGTGCTAGGAAAGGGGGATGGGGGGTTTTTGTGGGGGGGAATTGTGCTAGGAGGTGGGATTGGGTGCTGATGTGCTAGAAGGGGGGAATTCATGCTAGGATAGGAGATTTGGGTGAGGAGGAAGGATTTGTTCTGGGAAGGGTAAGTTTGGAGGGGGTTTTGCTAAGAGGTGGGAATGGGGGGATTTATGTTAGGAGGGGGATTTGGGGAGAGGATTTGCGTTGGGGTGGAAAATTTGAGGGAAAATGCTGGAGTAGAAATACAGGTGCCATTTTTTATTTATTTTTTTTGGAAGGGGGGTGCAAGTAGTTGGTCTTGCTTAGGGCGCAAAACAGTCTAGCACTGGCTTCACAGCCGGTTTCCTACTGCGAGTTGTGCTGTACCTTGTGAATGGTCCCATAGTCTCCTTCGCTGGGGGGAAGGAGAGGGGCCAGAAAGTGAAAGCAGATACCTTTCATAACCAGGTACCCACTTACCCCTACCCCCCCCCCCCTTTTTTGGTAGAGCTTTGCTTTAACTTGGAAGCCCGAATAGTTTCCGTACTTCTCCACTTGTAGCAGACAGTACAATGACTCACTAGGGTCACCAATGTATATACTTAAAGCAGTTCTTCAGCCCCCGTATGAAAATTAAGTCCACAGCTACAAAAACTGTAGCTGCTGACCTTTAATAAAACAGCCACTCATCTGTCCAGGGATTCAGCGCTGTGTTCACCCAAGCAGGTTTCTTCATTGCTCTTGTCTCCATCGCCAGCGTCTAAACTTTTGGTGGCCCACTGTGACTGCTTGCAGCTTCACAATTCACTGCCAATTGCACATGTGTGAGCCATGCTGTATCTTGTGAATGGTCCTACATTCTCTTGGGACCTGTGATGTGTCCCAAGAACCAGCAGGGAGAGGAGGGGGAAGGTAAAAGTGGGAGTGGGTACCTGTCAAAACCAAACGCCTGCAAAAAAGTTGCCAATTTTGACAGAGGAGGTAGGGGTGAGGAGGAACAGCAGAACTTCCACTTTTGGAAAATATTCTTTAGGCTAAGTACATTATGTACCACACAATGCACCACACTCATGCCCACTTCTGAGATGCCTTGTGCATGAAGATGGCAGACTAATTGCATGAATTAGGTGAACAATTCTTCAGTGTAGCAAAATGTCTTCCCCAATAAAGGCTTATGGAACAAAATATTCAGTCTATGTTTGTTTATTAAAGCGTTCACCATGAAGTACTCCATGCTTGAAAAAGAGCCCGTTTAACCACTCAAAGCCTCCCATTTCTGGAGGTTTATGAACTTTAACTTGTTGCTGCCTGCTAGTGTAATAAATAGCAATATGGATTCATTTAATTAACAAATTTCCCTACTCCTACTAAAAAGCATAAATACATATACCTCTATACCTCTAGTGTTCAGATTGCACTGCCCTTGCGATCTGCAGTAGATGTTAGTGCAAAACAACCATGCAATCCGGTTGCAGAGCATTCCCAAAATTGCTGCATGCATGACTTTGGTGCGGTTGCTGTGCGATTTGAGACCATTCAAAATGATTAGGCTCAAAATGTACCTTACTGAATTGCACGTGAATTGTACAGGAATGCGGTATGGCTCCTTTGCGATTCATATGTGATTCATAGTGTGAACCTATGTACTCATAAGACCAGTACTTGTGCTAAACAATAGAGTCAATCACAAAAAACGTATTTATATAAAAATATAGATCATGTGAACAGAACTTAAATCCTCCCCCTGTGCCCAAGCAGTGTGTATGAAGAACCATGTCCAAAAAAATGTCCCAACATTTTAATTGTGCGTGGGTCACAAGTACTGGTGGTGAGTACATCATATTAGTTTGATATGGAGTTATTATTTTAGTTTATTAATCCTCAGTGGTGTGAACGGTTTGCTACACAATCTAAATATGTAAGTCGAATTGTCGGTGACTCATTGGGGTTCTTTACTAAAATGGTGCAAAAGGAGTGCAAACTCTGGTGCATCCCTGCATAGAAACCAATCCGCTTACAGGTTTTATTATCAAAGCTTAAGTGAACAAGCTGAAGTTAGTAGCTGATTGGCTACCATGCACATCTGCATCAGATGCACCAGTTTTAGTAAATCCCCCCATTATGTTTTTAATCCAGAGACAAGGCAGTTAGCATTTTCTGATGGTAATAAGCAGCAGTAACCTCTTTATTTCTCTCTGTACATGTTTCTTTTTTTTTATAACCAATACATTTTGCATCTTTCATCAGAAACATGCCAAGGGACAGGATATTTTTAAGAAAGTGTGCAGCCACTTGAACATCATGGAAGAAGACTACTTTGGCCTTGCCATTTGGGGGACTCCAACCACTAAGGTAAAAAGAATATTGGTGTTGTAGTTAATGTCCAGAAAATGAAAAACTGGAATCTGATCTACATGGGGTCATGAATCCAGGATTTTCTGGTCATGTTGTGTTTTGGTTCTGTGTTACAAATGATGCTCTCAGCAGCAGTTTAATTGTTCATTCATTATCTGATGCTGTAGAGAACCGCTGTCCCCACCAATAGCCCCTTTTCAGACTTCATTGTCCACCAGATTAATCTCCACAGGATGAGCATGCAAACGGTTGACTGCACTTCTCTAGCGGACACAGAGACCCTTCTTTCTGTCTAGCTCTGCTCAGCATCACTCAGCAAACATTATGATTAACAGACAACGGATGCTTGACACATTATTTAAAAGATGCACATCAGTGCAGAGCCAAGAAATGATTTGTAAAGAGACCTGGCATTAAACTAACATTCCTGAACTATTCAGCAACTTGTAGCTTTCAAACCACTTACAATGTATGCCTTTTCTGGTTATTCACCACAACCTACTAGTACATCTAAGTTCTAATTTGTATGTTACACTTTATATTGGAAGAGATCTAACCAGTAACATTTAAGGTTCTTTCTTTGGGTCCTTTTAAAGCCTCAAAGTCTTTAAATACTTTCCATTGTATCCACTGTGCCACCTTCTTCTCTACAAAGAATGGAAGCACCCTGACAAGATTTTGTACAAAAAGTCTCCACACAGTGTTTGCAGCTTCTCGACCTGGTGCTCTCTCTTGCTAGAGTCTTTACTCCTTTTCCTAGTCCTCTTTAGTTCAATGATTGTGGCTATAATATTTCTTATATATATGTATAGATATTTATATCTATATTTTAACCCCATCTGGCACTGTCCAGCCTTAGCAAAGCGACTACCATACTGGGGAGGGATGCACCTTTTTATTAAGGAGCCAACTGATAAGCAGCTTGAAGCCCCCTCTAGAACTAGGACTTTACCCATCAACCCATCTTGACTCTGACTTTTACTGTGCCAAAACACAGCTGACTTTTCAAAATCCCTTAAATGGGATATTACTACTACTGCGGTTGATCACTTGAGTATAGAACTCAATGGAGCAAATGGCTGCAGATTTAAACTTCTGTTGTGATGGTGTGCTGGAAGCTTCCTGTTTTTTTCTTGGATGTGTCTCCTGTCAGTACACATGTGTACAACACATTGTGTACGACACAATGGCTAAAATGCTGGACCATGGATCCCATGCCTAAAATGCTTCTGATCCACATGCCCTTCAAGGGGCCTACTCTTGATACCATTATCAGGACGCTGGTGGCAAGAGTACTGATCTTTCTCAGCAGAAGAAGACTTTGAAATAGGCTGCAAAGTCTTCTTACTCTTTCTTTCTCCACTCCCTTGTCATTCATGTGCCAAATCTCAGTCAAGTCTTTCTTGCCATAAAGGTGTGCCCCTCTTTCCAAAGTGAGGGAGACTTTTTTTTTTTATTTTAAATTTAGATCATTTTAATTTGACTTTTTAATTTCTTTTCAGAACAGAAGAAACAGGCAGAATGAAAACAATAGATGTTGAACTTTTATAATACCAAGTAACCAATATAGCCAGTGCATAATCATCTGAACCTGTAAATGCTACAAGGACATCCTCTTTAAGGCTCTGCAGTTTACATCATCAGTTCTTGTATAATAATGAGCATTAAAGTGTTACTAAACCCAGGACTCTGCATTCACTATATCTGGTCTCCTACAGTACACAGAACATGGAAGTGCAATTATTTAAGTAAATATAAACTGCTAAATACCTTTTTCTCATCAGCAAATAGAGCAGTCTTGTGACTTCTATCAGTGTCCAGCTATGCATTGGTTAGAGCTTGTAGGAGGATTTTAATTTTGTTCTAGGAGGATGCAGAACCCCTGACCCTCTGTCTGGACAGTGCCGATTGGCCCTGTGATGGTCACATGCATTCTCCCAAGAAAAAAAAAAAATCTCTCTAGCAATACACACCAAACAAGTACAAAGTGACTCCACATTATATATCTTGTAAGGAAATAAGAGGGGGACACTGGAAGAAGGGAAGGATCAGAGAAGTCAGGATCAAACTGAGTTTTTACTCAGTGCAGAGGATTAAACCCATAGATTCCACTGTGAGTATAACAAGCATGCTTGATTGCATATACAGATTGATTTTACTGTTGTGGATTTAGTAACACTTTAAGCATTAGTTTACATTATATTGTCTATCAGTCTTAATTTTTCACACTTAAATCACCAGTTAGGGCTGTCCTGTACAAGGGGTATTTATTAAAAGTGAAATAACTGAATGTGGATAGCTGTAGGGAATGTCTAGGCTCGCAGTCTCCGCTCCTAATTCATCCCAAAGGTGTTTTATCGGGTTGAGGTCAGGACTCTGTGCATGCCAGGCAAGTTCCTCCACCCCCAACTCGCTCATCCATGTCTTTTATGGACCTTTGTGCACTGGTGCGCAGTCATGTTGGAACAAGAAGGGGCCATCCCCAAACTGTTCCCACAAGGTTGGGAGAATTAAATTATCCAAAATGTCTTGGTATGCTGACGCCTTAAGAGTTCCCTTCACTGGAACTAAGGGGCCAAGCCCAACTCCTAAAAAACAACCCCACACCATAATCCCCCCCTCCACCAAACTACACTTGGCACAGTGCAGTCAGGCAACTACCGTTCACCTGGCAACCACCAAACCCAGACACTTCCATCGGATTGCAAGACAGAGAAGCATGATTCATCACTCCAGAGAACACGTGTGCATTGCTCTAGAGTCCAGTGGCGGCATGCTCTACAACACTGCATCTGACACTTTGCATTGCACTTGGTGATATAAGGCTGATGCAGCTTCTGCAGCTTCTCAGCCATGGAAACCCATTCTATGAAGCTCTCTATGCACTATTGTTGTGTTAATCTGAAGGCCACACAAAGTTTGGAGGTCTTTAGTTATTGACTCTGCAGGCAGTTGGTGACTTCTGTGCACTTCATTTTACATGGCCTACCTCTTGGTGGCCGGATCTGTCACTCGCACTGGGAGCCGTCAGTCTGCTCAATAGCTAAGCGCAGTGAAAGTAAAGGAAGGAGTGTGAGCTGTGCTCTCTGCCTCCCCCCTAGAGTGCAGTACCTGGCTCTGTGAGTGAACAACGAAGTACTGCAACTTTTTATAGGGCTGTGTGTGTGTGTGTATGTACATGTATCTGTGTGTGTGTTTTGTGTGTGTCTGTGTGTATGCATGTACATGTGTCTGTGTGCATGTACGTGTCTGCGTGTATGTACATATCTGTGTTTGTGTGTACATGTGTATGTGTCTGTGCGTGTACATGTGTGTGTGCATTTACATGTGTGTGTTTGTGTATATGTACGTACATGTGTCTCTGTGCGTGTGTATTTCTGTGTATGTACATGTGTCTGTGTGTATGTACATGTATGCGTGTCTGTACGTGTCTGTGTACATGTGTCTCTGTGCGTGTGTGTGTACACGTTTCTGTGTGTGTATGTACATGTATGTGTGTGTATACAGGTGTCTGTTTGTGTGTGTATGTACATGTCTGTATGGAAACCTACATGTATGGGTGGTTTGGTCAGGTTCAGGATGATGTGGTTATTATGGGTGGTAGATTATGGGGCATTTGAGGTACTGCTGGGTTGGATAGTTGGTAGGATATGCTTGGTAGAATTATGGTTTTGTGAGTGAAAGATTATGGGGTTATGGTTGTATGCGGTGCATGGTCTAAGTATGATGGAATGCTTAGGGGGACATTGGAGGCCCTGATGTAATGTGGGGGAACTCTGGGGACCCTGATGTAATGTGGGTAACATTTAACAGTGTCATTTCATGAAATAATTTACGAGGGCGTTTTTAGGGGGGAATTAGGGCTGTAGCCAGGGTAGGGGTTGGGTCGGGCAACTGGTGGCGAGTAACTCTTAAGGCCTGGCTAGTAGCTCAGGACTTGAAATTTTAAGCCCTGCTATAATATCAATGTGAAGCGCTAAAAAAAATGTGTGTTATAATCAATGATGACCAGAGTAATAGTAAAAGAGAAAGGAAACCTCATAAAAAAAAAAATGGAGAATAGTGAACACTCCAATGAAGAAACAAAATGGACGGTATAACAAATGAAAATATAAGTCCTCTAAATATCATAATAATCCCAAAAATAGTGATGTGATCAAATCAACAAAATGTAGTGACTGCTGTGATTTCCGCACTGCACCTCCACCATAATGCACTCACCAGAAGTAAGTAGCAAGCAAGCCCAGAGCAGAATTACAGTAAGGGGTGTTCCTGCTTGTTCCTCCTGCCGGTGACCCGGTTGAAGGTGGGATCTCTCCAGACACCAGTGATACACCAAATGAACAATCAAAAGTAGAGTAGCCAAGTCTCCATCTCCAGCCCACGGTGAACCAAGGAAAGGGATTCCTCCTAGAGGGCAAGCTTATAGACCGAGCCCGGAGACAGTATCATATAGTGTAGTATGTTTTATTAAAAAGATAGCAACCACGTGGAGCATAAAATCATCAATGGATAAAAACACTTACAAAGATGGCCGCCGGACTATCACGTGGACGCGGCAGCGTGACGTCAGCATATAGGCTCCTAACTGACACGTTTCGTGCGCACGCATGTTCTCAAAGGGATCCACCTAGTGCCGACGCCATAACACTGTATGCCTTATATAGGCCTGAGGACATGTGACCAAACCAACGCTATTTTCTAGAAGACTTATGGTCCGACAGGTGCCATTTTGTTGTAGACCAGAAAAAACATAACAGTCCTTCACTTAAGTTTGAAGGGATCGTACTGAATACAAACCACAGATGGATATTAATTAACAATTAACAATTAAAAAAAACTAAAAAAACTAATAAAAGACAGAACCCATAAATGCATTCAAGTCCCTAAAATGCAGGTGATGTGCATAATGGGAACAAATGCAACATGCGTTAGAACAATATAAATGGTAACACCAAGTGGTTAATAGTGTGGGTGACCATAACTAGAAATTAAAT